TCTGTTTCCATCTGCCCATCATAAGGAAAAGCACGACTCAGCCAAATTTATTAGGACAAATGTCTCAATTTGGAACTTGATCTGCTTAAACACAGCTCCCAGATCATAATTTATTTTTGGTAAATCATATTTTCCTCCTGAATGTCTGAATGACATTCCCCACTCTGAGAACTCTTGATGGAGCAGTGACTAGAATGGAAATAACCCCACTGACAATTGGAACCTCATGGGAAGCTCATTTGAATGGAAATTAAAGATGAGAATAGCAAGTATAGTCACGCTTTCACTCAGGGAATCTACAAGGTGGCTGCTTTACCTTGAATAAGGCAACACAACAGAAACCCTTTGAGAGACTACGTGCCCAGGACATTGGTCAGGACATCCCAGACTGTCCCTGCATGAAATTATAAAGGGAAATTTGGTTTGGAAAGGTCTTAACTCCTTTACCCTTTCTGTCACTATTTTTCTCTTAATCTCATCTTGTACCCATAGAACTCTCCCTGCAAGGCAAGCCAACTTTTAAGAATGTCACTGATATAGAGTAGCAATATGCTTCATGTTTCAGGTCAGACACTTGGTTTTCAATACCTGACCCTATTGCTTCTTAGCTGTGTGACCCAGGAGAAGTTCTCAACCTTCCGTGCTTAGAGTGCTGAAAATGGAGAGAAAAAGATTCAGCCTTGGGTTGCTGTGGAGTCTAGAAGAGAACATACTGTTAGGAGGTAGAAGTAACAGTCCACGGGACTGCGTCGCTGTGAGATGGGAATAAGTTAGGCCCTTTTAAAACGTGCACAAGACGTTTACTTCTGTCCCAGAGATTTCCAATTTTGTCAGGAGAACAGCAAGGAAGTAAGAAAGTCGCTTTAACAAGGGTGCAAAATGCTGTTTCTCTCCAAAAGCTGCATCTAGTAAGACAGAAGTGCTGGTCCCGTTCAGAGCTGCTAGTTTTATCACTGGAATAGCAGGCGACGGTGAAAGACAGTTCGGTGGAGTCCCTGGGATGTGATTCTTCATTCCACTGGGTTTCCAGTCTTATCAAGAGAACAGCAAGGAAGTAGTGAGCCAGCTCACTTGAGCTTTCAGCCCATCAGAATAGAACATTGTCAACCCGGTTCTTGTAACAGAGCTTTGTTTTGAGCAAAAACTGGGCAAGATTGAACCCTCTCACTGATTGTTAATTGCTGCTTTATTCATTCCCTCAAAATAGTGCTGGAAAGATTCCATCTCAACCAGCTTTGGGGATCTTTCTCTCTTACTGGCCCCCATCCTGTACATTGTGACAAGCGATTTCTCAAGTAACCTTGCTTTGCTCGCTGATCTGCCCACCTAGAAAATCCTCCTTCATGTGGGACAAGAACCAAGGTAGCCTCCATCCTTTGCACTGATTTCCTGGTAACACTATGTCTCTGTATCTTAGAAAATCACCAAGTACACAATTAGAGCTCAATACTCGTCGGCTAGCATAATTATATGGGGCATCTTTCCACACTCCATGAAAATGTGTATTATAGACAAAACTTGCAGGGATTTCCAAAATGTTTGCAGCAAAAGAAATATTTTTAAGAGACATTTATTTGTATACTTTGAAAGAGCTACAGAGGGAGGGAGAAACAAAAAGCAAGAAATTGCCCATGTGTTGGTTAACACCCCAGAAGGCTGCAAAGCCAGACCGGGCCAGATCGAAGCCAGGGTCCTGGAGCTTCTTTGGGATCTCCTGCCCAGATGCTAGGTCCCAAACACCAGGGGTCTTTTTCCTCTCCTTTTCTCAGATCTTTACCAGAGGGCTGGATCGGAAGTGGAACAGCTAGGATATGAACCAACACCCACATGTGAGATGAACGAGTTACAGGTGATGGTTTTATCTGAGATACCACAATGCCAGCCCCAACAAACTTAATTTCATTTTTTTTCCATGAGCTCTGAAGTGTTTCTCACATAGTTTTCATTTTCATCCTAGGATCAATGGAGTTGCTGTGTGCCTCTGCCAGAGGGATTTGCATAGCAACTTTCCCTCTCTGTTGAGAATGCACAGTGTAGGGACTCTAGGGATCTGAGCAGCATCCCATCACACAGGGCCTTCTCTCATCCCTGGGACGGGCTGCCCTGTGGCATAGAGCCAGTTTAGCTTGGTCCTCTGCTCTGAGCACAACCATTTCAGCGCTGGCCTGTTTGTTCTCTCAGATCAAACTCAGCACCTTGTCTTAGCTGCTGGCTGGGTATCAGACCCAGGCCCAGTGACAGATGCAAGATGCCAGGAGTATGAAAATCCAGTCCAACAATAGTTTCCCATTAGTTGAGTTGAAACAGGGAAGGGGATAGTCCAAGTTCATCCTTTTGCAGCGCGTGTCTGGAAAAGGTGTAATTGTCCTATGAAATACAGAAAAGATGCATGCGATTTCCTTCAGTTATCTCTCAGCAGTCAATCTGGAGTAGGTAGGTTGGGATGCCTCTGGAGCCAATTTTAGCTATGTTGTTGTTTCCATGAATAAGATTCATTCATTGATGGAAGAAAGAACTAGAAGCAGGGAGCTAGCCCAGCTAGTATCTCTCAGAAATGTACACTTGCTTGCGAAGCACCATGTGACTGCACTGATTTCTCTCTGTATTCCATCACTTTCTGCATGCTCCTAAAGTAAGTGTTAGGAGCTAGGGAGTGATTGTGGTGCGTTGTTCCTGCTTGCTTTTCTGCAGTATGCCCTGCGTTCACCCTGTTCTTATGACCCAAATTACTTGCCTGTATGTTGCCAATCCAGCACTTCATCCCCTGGTCAAGCAAGGCCAGTCATCTTGGACAGGAGGAAGGACCCTAAAGGAGGCGCCTCCCGCAGTGTCCACTAGGTGGAGATAGAACCTCAGAAGTGCAGGCTCTGAGGCTTTTGGGACCAGCTGTGGCTTATTAGCCCAGCTGGAAATTGCTGGCAAGACTTTGATCAGAATGACAGCTGTGAGAGGCTCCTGGGACACAGGAAGCAGTCAGTGGATGTACAATTTTCCTCGGTTCATCAAAATCAAACAGCTCTCCTCCCAACTCTTGGCAGGAGACAGGAGAGAGACTCCAAAACAGGCTACAGGATCCAAAGTCGATCTTGGATCTGAGTGGAGTTAGTGGAGTAATTGGCAGTGGAGAGTAAGGGCAATTTTCCTCTTACATGACAAACCTGCCCCTGTCACCTTTTGAGAAGTGGAGTGTTAGTGTGGCTTCCCCACCCCGTGGACTTCATCCACAAATGTTACCAGCAAAATCCCTCACTTGGCTCTGCACTAAAAAAACAAAGGGAAGGGGGCTCTGCTGTGGTGCTGGCACCCTATATGGGTGCCAGTTTGTGTCACTGCTGCTCCACTCCTGATCTAGTTCCCTCCATACAGCCTGGGAAAGCAGTGGAGGATGGCTCAAGTTCTTGCAAACAACCTGCATCCAAGTGGGAGACCTGGAGGAAGTTACTGGCACCTGGCTTCTGGCTTTGGATTGGCCCAGCTATGACCTTTGCAGCCATTTGGGGAGTGAGTCGGTTGGAACATCTCTGTCTCTGCTTCTTTGACTCTGCCTTTCAGATTAAAAATAAAATAAAATAAACCTTAGAGATAAGGAAAGGAAAGGAGGATGCTATTCCTTAGTGCCTTAGATGCCAGCCTGGGGTATCTGTATCTAGTATCAGAGTGATATTGGGAGTCCTGACTCCTCTGAGTTTCCTGCTGTTGTGCACCAGGGAGGTGGTAGATGAAGACCCAAATACTACTCATGTGGGAGACCCAAATGGAGTCGTGGGCTCCTGGCTTCAGCTTGACCTGGCGCCAAATGCTGGGACATGAGCCAGCAGAAAGATCTTTTTCTCTCTCTTTTCTTCCCTCCCCCTCTCTCTTTCACATAAATAAATGGTGTTTTGAAACACACACATGTGCTGCTGCTTCTCATAGCAGGTCCCTGTGTCTCTGCAGGCCTCATTTGTGCCTTCTGGGGACTTGTCATGGATACTGCTGACAGTGGCTCTTTCATCTCACAGTTCACAGGTAAAATGAAAAGAATAGGTAAATATAAAATTACCACTTAAAAAATGGCATGGCTGTGGCTAAACCACAGGACTCCCAAACCAAGTCCTCTCCCCTGTCCCAACACCTGGAGTGGTATTTAGGGACAAGTAATGGGTATGTGGCACTGCAACTGGCATGGTTGCTTCTCTCTTTTTTCTGTCTTCCTCTGTGCCTTCCACACTCCGTGACAGTCAGAATCCTATTGTGTCAACCCATTTGTTGTTGCTATAGCAAAATATCCGAGTCTGGGTAACTAGGAAGAAGTGACACTGGAGGCAGACATGCCTGGCATCTGCTCTGTGTCTGGCAGGGGCCTCCTGCTGCATCACTGCGTGGTGCTCGCCGTCCTACAGTGAAGCAGAGTAAGCACGCTTGGGTCTTTTCCTGTAAACCCTCAAATGCCAACTACAAGGTGCTAGCCACATGACCCCATGTAGTTCTAACTACCTCCCCAAGGATTCACCTCCAGACACTATTAGCATTAGTTTGAAGATTAAACTTCCAACACCTGAAGTTTGAGGGGGACACACAGACACACTCAGGAAATGTGGTTGCTATTTTGAATGTGCCGGAAAGCATCCCTCTCTACAGGATTCAAGAACTCTACGTTAAGCTGTCAGTGAAAATTCCAATGATCCCACACACGACTGTTGGGCAGAGCATGCGTTTGTTTCCCAGGCAATTAGGTAATGAGAGTATGGCTTCCAGGATCCTTGTTTAAATCGAGCTAATGTGCTGGATCGTCACACACTGTGGGTAAGGTCAGGGTAAGAAGCCACCAGCCCTGTTAACAGGTGGGCTCAGCAGCAAGCTCTGGCATTTCTCATGGCTGGAAAACAGCAAAGATTGCTCACTGTTTGGAAGATGGAACAAAACGCTGGTGGATGTGGCTAAGTCCGAGGCTCTAGCCACACAGTCTTGCCCTAGAGTAGATCATTCACACAAAGAAGGCTCACAAAATTGTATTAGATATTTTATTTTTACAAGCATGGAAACGAAATATAATTGCATGCTGGTATATTCTACGACATGATTTAAGAGATCGCAAGTCTTAATTATCAAAATGCAAAGCATCCAGTTTCAAAGCTGGCATCTTCCTTGAAAGGATAGGACGCTATTCCTGTTACCTTTTAAAAATGCATAAGGCAGTTATGCCCGCAAGAAGCTCCTCTTTTATTTTTGATGTTAGAAGAATCAGATTTCTGCTAGTATGGGTGACCAGCTTTATCTTTGCAGAACAGAGGCCCCCTTGTACTTTACAATCCCATGATACAAATAAAATTCATTCCATTTAAGCAGCATTTCCAGGACTGAAATGTTTTCTGTGCATTCTTACATGACTTTGCCCTACTCACCTCATCTTCATGTCACTTACATTCCTGAAGTCTTCCAATATATACCACTCTGAAATGTTCTACCCAAACCACAAGAAGGCTGTGGCTCCCCTTAGTGTTTCTACATTTCTGGTCTTTACAAGCTACACCCTGAATAATTCACGAGCATCTATTGATCTCTTTTCTTATCTAAACAATAAGACAAGGCAGGAGACGGCAGACACATGGCTTATTCATGACACAATGTGCTACTTTGCTGTGTTGTTCCTTGAAAACACTCCTGCTCTTTCTATTAATTGCTCATCTGTGAGTGCCCAACCTCCCAATCTCTGAAAGATAGCTGAATGAGAAAAAGTCATAGCCATGACAATCTTAGAGGTCAACAACATGGAAGCTTAAAAACTTCCCAGCCAAGTAGACCACTATCCACTAGGTTTACGCCAGGGTCATGTCTGAGCCCATGTGTCTCCTGCCCTCTGAGACTGGCTGCTCAAAACTGGCGATCTCAGAACCACATGGGTCTCCTGTTTTCCATCATATACAGACCTCTCAACTACTTTCTTCTACAGTTTAGAATTCTACTTAGGCAAAGAGTAGTGGTGGGCAATGGGCTGACAGCCAGAAGATGCTTTCCCCCATTTTTTTTTGTTTTGTTTTTTTACAAAAAGAAACATGAACTAAAATTTGGATCCACTTGTGTGCTGAGGTTTGCAAGTGGGGAAAACACACACACTCCTGAATGTGTGTGTGTGTGTGTGTGTGTGTGTGTGTGTGTGTGTGTGTGTTGGGGGAGGGGAGAAGGGGTAGTAATGGAACGTGCCTCAATTAATGAACATGGGCACGCGGCCAGCCTTGCATTTCTATGAAACTCAACTGACGGTTCCTGCCATTATCCAGATTCCCTTTACAACCTCCAACACAATGACTCCCTAGGGATGCTTGCTGAAGTGGGTGGAAGGTCATTGTTTCTTGTTGTCTTGCATTTTTTGAACATGACGACCTTAGCCTTGTCCCAGCCAGCAGACTCTCCTTAGTTGATCATGTCAAGGTCGCCCACATGCCCTTGTGTTGTTATGACCTTGCATCAAACCTCCTCAATATAATCCTAGGAATTATGTCACAGCCACTCTTCCTCGAGTCTTTAGTTTTAATTCGGTTGATGCCCTAACTCAGTACTGAGCTCTGATAAGTTTGGTATTTACCTTGAGAATTTGCTCTACACAGGCATCCTAACAATCACTTCCTCCAGTAACTTTACATAATGACTCGTTCAGAGAAAGGGATGTGTCAATTCTCAGGCTAGCATCAATGTCACTTGCACATGCAGAAATCAGAAGCTCGATGCAAAGCACTGTTCAGACCTCTGCTTCCCGTGCCTCGCATTCTCCATAAGGAAGGTGCAGTGGCAGTCGAATAAAATCTTATAATGAAAGGAAGAGAAGTTTTAAGGGACTGAAATATTACAAAGGAAACTTCTGGACCTCAATAAACAAGGCACTAGCTCTCATACCCTGTGTCCCTGCCTTCCTAGTGGTGGACCATTTTTGTTTCTCAGTCCTTACACAGACCACAAAGCCCACTCATTCCAAAGGGTCAGCTTGATTCTGTCTCATTCTCCTTTTTGGATCAAAGTTTGATTAAGAGAGCATGGTTGCCATGTCTACAGCACATGGTGAACTCTGCTATGGGTTGCATTATAATAAATATTTGCATTTTGTATGAAGTACACACACACAATCAAAACATCCATGCATATAATTCACAATCAAATTTTTCAGAAAATCTCTGCCACTTATACTTCAAGATAAAGTATCACTAGGAATACGGAGCAATCAGCTATAAATTCCTTCTGGAAGCTTTCCAAGTGACTGAAAGATAAATTAGACTATAAAGCATGCATAATGGATATTTGTCTCAGAATCTAAACACTGAAAGAAATAATACAGAGTGAGCTGTACACACACTAGGGGCTGTTATATACACAGCAACAATAATAAGTGACAACAACAACAATATACAGTGCTTTAAGATGATTAAAATCTATTCTATAATGCTCAGAGAAGTACCTGGTTAAAGCTGTTACATATGAAACAGTTGGCATCTGTTTTCACTGCAATATATCAAAGTTGGCAATTAATGGGTATAAAAATATATATATATTTTGCTTTCAAAATGTGGAGCAAAATAAAACATAAAGCTTTTCTGATAAAATGTAAAACAGCTAATCACAGTTGAACCTGCTTTGTTCTGATCAGGAATTGTTATTAACTTCCTCTGCACACTCAGTGAACTTAGCCCAAGCCTGGATGTGCACAGGAACAGATGCACCTGTATAGCATCAGGGGAATCAAGTCTCCTTCCACTTGCAATTCTTGGAAATATTATTATCCACATGAAAACATCCTGATAATGTAATTTCCTCCTCCTTTTCCCCCCATTCTTGGCTAAGAAAATATTAGGATGACATTAAACCCATTCTCAATGACTTACTCCTGGTTTCCATTTTTGAGTCAACTGAAAAATTCTTAATGGTTTGGTATCTGAGAGCTTATGTTAGATCATAACATGTGATCTTTAATGTTGCTTTCCTTTGTTATTTTTTCTGTTTCTTTTTCCTTTTTTCCCTGCTCCTTCTCTCCTCTTCCTCTACCTTTCTCTCCCTTCCTAGAATTCACTAGAATTATTTCCTAGCCTCTACTTCTTTACTTATTATTTTAATAAAAGCTTATCTTTGTGTTCCACATGTGAAAAGTGAAAATGTCTCTTTAAAATGTTATTTTACAATATAGACAGGAAGTTGGACATGAGAGACTTGAGTTTTCTTAAATACTATACACATTTGGTTATACCAGGGGCAGGAAGAGGGAGCAGAAAGGAGAATACCAGTGACTTTTAGTTTGTCTTTACAAAAGGAAGTGTCTTCTTTAGCAAGAAAGTCTTCAGGGTTTGCTCCCAGAGGCCTGCGAGAGAACACTTTACCATGACTCCAGGAAGGCCTGGTTCTCAGAGACACATCCATCTTTGAAGAGGTCACATGGGTTGGATTTTGCTCTTCTTAGTTGAGCAAAGAATAAGCACTGGACGAGTTTTCCACAGATGAGCTGGTTGTTTCTGGGGTGGAGACATCATACGTTCCTGAAAAACAGAGCAGCAGTTCAGCCCTGCAGACCAGTCTTCTTGACCCCTGAACTACGAGCGTCTTCTCATGGACCAAGGACGCTCTAGTCCTGGAGCCAGGTAAGCTTGTCCATACCTGGAGACCCGCCATGCCTGCCCTCCTCCCAAGACCCGGAAGTGCCAGAGAACACACTGAGCTGTGGTTCTCAAGCATGCGTGCAGCCCACAAGCACTAACTACTTCACATCACCCCAGCAGCCAGATTTTCACAAAAGACAGGAAGATCACTACGTGGAAAGCTTCTCCACATGCCACCACATGCGCAGGCCTGGGGAGATCTGCATGAGAGCAGCTCCCTGGGTGATTTGGGAAAGCTCTTTGAAGGGATCTGGCGGTTGCACTGAAGGTCAAGGTTTATAAAGGGAGGAGAAGGAAAGGAGAGAGAAAATGGCAAGAGAAGAAAAGGCAGGACCAGAAAGAAGCAGATGTCAAGGACACCAACAGAACCAGTACAGGAAGAAGGCCAGCCTCTGAGCAACTGCACAGCTGGCATGGGCAGATTGGGGGGCCGGGCAATTGTGCATAGAGAGAAAAAGTAGGTAGTGCTTGCTGAGCAAGGAGAGAGTTGAAGGGCCCACCCTACCATTACATTGGTGAACTGCCACTGCTAACAAGGTTTCCATCATTGCCTGGGGGGACCTTTGGGGAGGCTGACAACACAAACAATAATGAGAGTATTACGAACCCCCCAAACAAGTACAAGTGGAGCTGCGTTCATGATCCTGGAGATAGTGGCCATGGCCAGAAATCTGAGTCCACACCCAACATTCATCCAACTGATTCAGAAACAAGGAACACATCTTACTGGCCTCACACATCATACTTCTGACTTATGGAATTCTTTCATCAACTTGTCATTCTCTCTAACAAATGATAAATGTTCCAGCAACATTCTACTGAAGTGTAATTGTCTTAACACAACTGAGGTTTTCTTCTCCTTCTTCTCCTCTTCCTCCTCCTTCTTCTTCTCCTCCTTTTTCTTCTTCTTCCTCTTCTTCTCCTTCCTCTTTTCTTTTCTTACCAGGTAGAAACAGTGAGTTGGCAAAATCAAAAGTGAAAATCTACTACTTTCATGTGCAATTCATCAAACTGAAGCAGAAAACACCAAATTCTCTGGAGGTTTAATAACTCTCAAAGTTTGCTTTTGTATGAAAAGCATGGTTTGGAACATTTTCAGGTTTCACTCGTGAGCTCTGTTCAGTTCCAGAAAGCTGAAATACATCCAGGAGTGTATTTTCCCAGAGACGATGGTGATATTAGACAGGGGATTCAGTGAACAGCAATAAATAGGTGAGAGCCTTTGCCCAAGTCATTAAGACTACTCATTTTGCATCAATGAGGTATATTACCCATGAACATTTATAACAAAATAGCTAACTTGGGTTACGTGGCTAATAAACATTCACATGTACACTAGAATCTGTGAAAATGGAAAAAATAATAGATGAAGTCACAAATTGGATGCTGTAGAAGTTTCAAAATATATTCATTGTTGCACCATAAGCCAGAAATGTGACTTATTTATTCCTATGCACCATAAACAGAAAGGGCCTCTGTGCGGCGAGGAAAACAATTACAGCCCTCATCTTGACAGTGGATAGTTTAAGAAGCATTTTCCAAAGGCTGGTCTAAATTTAATATCTGATTCATTGTAAGGGACCATTAGTTGTTGATTGAAGAGAGTTGCCCCTGTATAGCATCCTGGTGATTTGCGAAAATGTAAGCAGACCTTTACATTGAACCTTTATCCCAAATGAAACCATTCCAAGTAAATTCCAGAAAGTTGGGACAAGAGCAGGGGTGTTGAGGGCCCCACATTAAGAAACGCTTGGAGGTCATTACTTACCTGTTTTACCAAATAAATTGTTAAATCTTCTTGATATTGGAGAGCTCATAGAAAATACAGGTGTGGATGAACCTAGAGATGTTGTCTAGAAGACAGGGAGGAAAAACGAAAACAGTCATAAAGCACATTTATAATGTTTTGAGCTGTAGGAAGACTGGAATTGTGTCTTCTACTGGTCACTTTCTGTATCTCTAACCCAATCCAAATAGGTCTCCTTGATGTTCTAGAATTCCATCATCTATATTAGAAAAATAACCTTGAGAGATGGAGGGGGAGGGAGAAAGAGACAGAGAGAAGAGAGAGAAGATGGATGGATGGATAGATGAGAGATAGACAGATAGGGATGGAAGTAAAACTAGAAATAGAGATGAAAGAGAGATAAAGAGAGAAGAAATGAAGGGAGAAAGAGGAAGGAAGAAAAAATAAGCCTTTCAATGTTTTATTGTTTGATACATCTTTAGCATATATACATATATTATACATATACATATAGCATATTACATATATATTTGACATATATATGACATATATATGTGTGTGTGTCAAATATATATGTCAAATATATCCAAGGGCAATATATATACTCTAAAATTAAGTGCAGAAAATTGCATCCATTCTTAAAATTGTTTTCTCTAATTTCTTAAATGTTGCTGGTAGTCAGTTTCTTGTGCAAAGTTTTAGTTTTAAGTTTATAAACTTCGCCATTTAAATTCAAATTTTAAAGCATGGAGTAGCATCTTAAGGATAGCTCTGTGGTTGTGCCTAACAGGCATAATGAGGTGAGAAGCAAAAATTTCTGGGTAACCCATGAAAAACTTAATAATGGAGGGTGAAGGATTAGGGGTACAATGTAAATAAGCCCACTGATAAATCCCAAGGAGAAAATATAAAGCCCTCCACTTCTTACTTGGGAAATTAGCAAGGATATGACATAGGAAGTTTCCACAGAGAAAAGTGTTACCTTTGAGTGTTGAGAAGACCATCTTGACAATGAAAACTTATTCAGCAAAGCTTCCTGAACCTGCATTATTTTAAAGACAACATCATAAATTCATCATGCCATGCACATTTTGGACTTTTCTAAGAATATGGAAGTGTACTTGTTCTTACCTTCTGATCCCAGAGGCATCCAAACAGCAAAATGAATAATCCCTGGGAAAAGGGATTAGAAAAAGGTGCATGTTAAACATACCCTGTTGTTTTGTACAATTATTAGCCTTGTGACAAGTATTTGCTGCCCATCTTCCCATATGAGTTTATTGAATTAATCTAGGGCATAATAACTTTAAAGGAGAAGCAATAAATGGTCCTGAATATTATAATCTTGGGAGAGCATTTTCTAATTGCAGTTATGAACAGGAGATCCTGCTGGCTGCTCTTATGCTTACAGTATTTCTCATCCATTGCTACAGGTTGTGAAGAGAAACCGTGGCATAGAGTGAGATGATTATTTTCTTCTTACTCAGGGATATCTTGAAAGTCATTAGATAGGAGCCTTATAGCTTGGAGCTGTAGGTCCAGTAGAAGAAGTGAGAGTTATATGATCTTGGAGCAAAAACCAGGAAGTTGTATCTCAACTGCACCTCAAGACCTCCTGCCTCCTCATTAACTCAGAGGAGTGCACATTCTGGGGCAGGATGATTACTTTTTTAAATCTTACTCCTTGCTGAAACAGAATAAATCACTCCCTTCCCTGTATTCCAAAGTCAGCCAGCCTGCATGTCGGTAATAATTCTTTTAACAGATTGACCTGCACTGCAATTAATTATGTGTTGTAGTACAGGAGAGAAAAGAACTCTTTCCAGTTTATAAATAATCCAACAATCTGTCTGCTATTTATTGTTCAACGTATGTTTCCAGAGAACCTATTATGTGACACACGGCATTCATTTCATTCATTTGTTTACTGAGAGTCTGCTCTGGTACATGATCTTTACGAGGTGCTTGGGGTGTAGTAATCAGTAAGAAAGATGTGATCGCTGTAGGTATGACACAGCATTCACTAAGTTCCTATGGAAATTAATCAGAGATTTTGCCTGTTTAGATTGTGGTATTTTCACTTAGGAGATAACAGACTCCATCAATATAATGTTACAGAAATTACAAAATTTAGAAATAGTTCTTTCCTCTTCCTTGCACTACCAGGGCATTTAGAAGATCTTGGCTTAGACAATTAAGTCATGCATGCGGTTGAGACATGAGGTTCCTGGGAGCAGAAGAATGTGTTTCTGTCTCATTGAATTCTTGTAATTACCACCTTTTAGGGCTAATCCTCTAGATTAAAGTCCTTCCCCATTCCTACTCCTGTTTGTGTTTCTGTCATTAGTGTGTCTCACAGAAACAGAAGCTTTCTGAGAATCTTGGCACTTCAGAACTTACCTGGAAGGCATTGAGGAGAGTAAATATGATATGGAACACAGCATTGCTCCCTTGGAACACAGTAGCAAGACCAAAACCCCACGTGAGTCCCAAGAGTGGTGTGAGGACCCCAATGCTCTTGCTGATCTGAAATAGACTGCTCTTTTCTTGTTTGCTTGGCTTGTCTCCAATGGAAGGTCTTAGAATCTTGGTGATGACCACCGCTGTGATGGTCACATTGACCACCACGATGATCAGGGCTGGGATGACGAAGGCAAGCAGGGCCTTGGTGTCATCCCAGTTGAGCCAACAGGCATTCTTCCTCGTGTAGACTTCCTGTGGCTGGGTGGCCCCCACTGTGATGACTGAGATGACAAGGGGACAGCCATAGCCAAGAGAGAAGGCAATGGCTTTCTGAATGGACTTGCTTGCATCATGCAGGATGAAAACCAGGCGATAGAAGAGCATGAGGCCCAGCGCCAGCATCCAGAAGAAGACACTGAGGTAGAAGAAGTGGATGAAGAAAGTTGCAGCCACACAGGCTGTCTTGTTGAGTGGGTAGTAATAGTCATGGATGGCAGTGGCTACAATGAACCAGGTGTCAGCAACCAGAAGGGAGGCAGCAATGTTTACTATGCAGATATGGCGCATGTAGGAAGTCCGGTTCTTGGTGACTGATTTCCACACCATTGCCTCCACCACCAGACAGGCCGCTAGGCTCAAGATGGAGAATCCCAATCCAATGTAGGAAATTATATCCAGCAGTATCTTCAAGAGGGAGTCAGAGTCTGGCAAGTCTGGGGACATGAGGATGGAGAATGATGTCAGGTGGTCACAGGTGCAGAAGACACTGTCCCTGTCCACTTCTTTGACATAGCATCCACTGCTGTCCCACCCTCCTGTGTTGTTGGCAAGACTGAAATTCCAGAAGACACACTGCGGGTTCCCCACTGCAGGATTGTTGATCTTAAAAATCATGGAAATCCTGAATGGTGTGGCTATATTGTGGCTGACGGTAGTTGTCATCACCAAACTATTTGCAAAATCATCTCTCTGACCATCCTGAGCAAGGATGGTTTTGAGAGTTGGAAAAGCCACAGTGACAATAGATGAGTCAGGCTGCATATTTTCCAGCTGGCACTTGTCAATGACCACATTGCCCCAGAGGTCAGACTCTGGGAAAACAAATCTCTGTTGATAGGGCTTGGGGTGGCCAGATTTTACCACCATGCTCCTCATCTGCACATTAGGATGGGACAGGGACAAAGAGGTGCTATCCCTAGACCGTAGGGCTTGGGAAAATCTTTCCACAGAATGCAGGAGCTGTGAACTTTGGTGGCTCTGTTGCTCTTGTAAAACCTTCCAGGTGCTCAAGACATTCCTGCTGAGGATGACGTTAACGGTGGCAAGCACATGCTGTAAATAACAAGGAATGGCATTATATCAAATTCTTTCAATTATAAAAGATAAATTTTACCTCCCTGGAACCTAGTGGAGTGGTTATTGGTAAGTTGAAGATGGAAGAGAAGTATGGAGCATTCCAGACAAGGAGGAGCTATGCCTCTCATGGCAAAGGTTAATGAAGGATGGGACCCTAGTCTGTGTAGATTCCTTAAACACGGAGTATTACTCATGGTGAGAAGCACCTAGTCACCAGTCAGGAAGGACAAGTTGGCAGGCAAGAAGAGATGTTTAGTGTCTGCTCCATTGTGTTTTAAATATCAAGTATGCAAAGGCTTACGGTGATATTTTAGCAGAAAGAGTAAAAAAGTTCTAGAAGGCTCTCTCAAATCAGGAGCATCAAAGGAAGTGTCAGAAACAGCTTTCTTCTCTGTGGAGCAGCTTGATTTGCTCCCACATGAAGATGGGCTTGCTATTTTCACACATGACTCTCTCCACAAATGATTTCTGTGCCTTTCTTTGCCTTACTGCCCTCTGGAAGTATAAGTAGGTTGAGTAGTAGCCCTCAAAATGATATCTAACTCCCAAACCCCGTGATTGTCATCTTATTGAGGCCAACAGTATTTGTAGATAGAATTACTCAAAGTTCCATGCTGGAATCCTTGGGTGAATCCAAAACCAATGACACAAGTTTTTATAAGAGATAGAAGAGAACACTAATGGAGGATTGATGGAGGCCACAGGATATTGGAATGGTACAACCAAGAGCCAGGGGATGCCTGAAGCTAGACAAAGCTGGATGAAGAATTTTTTCAGAGCACTGGAGGGTGTGTCTCTAGTTAATATCCTAAATTCATACTTCTACCCTTCAGAACTGTGACAGAACATATTTCAGACATTACATGCTCCTTACTTTACAGCAGGCATAGGATATTTATATGACTTCTTGGCATGTTGTTAGTAAGTTCCTGAGCAGTTGGCCTCTTGGTAGATTTGACTGGGGAGGCACTCGCAAGCGATGTGGAGGGATGAAAGAGAAGCTGAGATTCTCTCCTTGATGTTCCTGTCACTGTCTCTCATCTCCTTTGTTCTTAGTACATCTCTGGAAGTAGCTTTGGCTGTCTAAGACTGTGCCTCCCACTGAATGCCACTCCTGTAAACCTTCAACTCTCATAGGCCTCCAGCTGCACTTTTTCTCTTTGCCTTAGAGGCAGGTAATGGCTAATCAATAGTGCAGGTGACAAGGTGCCCCATGACCTTTTTATTTGTTTCTTTCTAACTCCTGGATTTATTTTTGTAAGCATCTTTTCATTGGAATACTTGTTTGGGTGAGTTTTATGTCTTTAATAAACCCAGATTGCTTCAAAGTTCTTGGAGTGCTTAACCCTGGAGGACTGTTGCTATGTCCATATTCTGAAAATATCTAGTTCCTGATTTCCCCAGAAAATAGTTAAGAATTTATTTTGTTTTCATGAAAAAATTAAAGCAAAAACTCGCTAAAAAATTCTTCTGAAGGTCTAAAGCTGAAAGCTAGGAACAAACCCTGATAGCCTAAAAGCCATAGCTGACAGCACATGTGGCTGACAGCACATGTGTCCAGACACTGTTCAAAGGGGAGCAAAAGGGAGTTTAGATACTAATGTGAATGGCCTTCTAAGGCCTGTATGTGTTAACTTTTGTGTCCTCCAAACCTTGTGTTAATGGATTAAGTGTAGATATTTAATTCAACTATGGGTCTGGAAATGGGTCCCTTTGAAGATGATTAAATTGAACTGGATTACTATAATGAAGGCACCACAATTCCATCTATTCTGCTTACCATAAGAGGCCACAATAACATGGATGAGTTTGTTCCCTGTCTCTCTGCTTTCTGGGTCCTGTCCCACACCACCCTCATCAGATACCAAGGCAATGGTACTACTGAGCCTTCAATATTGAACCTCTAAAAATATCAATCGGAATAAACCTCCTTTCTTCATAAGTAGTTTCACCCAGGTATTTTGATGACAATAATGTAAAGGTGCATAATAATAGTGAGGATTTATGTTTCTTAAAAAATATTCTGAGAAGTGAAATAGTAAGACTTAAAACTTCTGATAAGAAGCTGCATGGTGGTGCATCTGGCTAATCCTCTTCCCTGTGACGCTGCCATCCCATGTGGGCACTGGTTTGTATCTAGCTGTTCTACTTCCAATTCAGTTCTGCCTATAGCTTGAAAAACAAGTAGAGTGTAACTGAAGTCTTTGGGCCCCTGCCTCCATGTTGGGGACCCAGATGAAGCTCTTGGCTCCCAGCTTTGGATCAGCTCAGCTCTTGCTGTGGTGGCCATGTGGGGAGTAAAACAGTGAATGGAGGCTCTCTTCTATCTGTCTCACCTTCTCTCTGTAAAATCTACTTTTCAAATGAAATATCACTCTAAAAACAAAGGAAAACAAACACCTTCTGTTCGGTCTTAAGCAAACTTACCATCATCATTTCTGAATTCACTTGAATGGGAACTGTTGAGAGCAAATCTAAAATATTAATAATGGCTCCCAGGCTCCCAGGAAATGAGCTGATTTCATGTTTCGCTTTGACTGTGCTGGTTGAAAGATCTTTCAGGTATGTGGGGAGCTTTTCATCTTGGGAAGGGCTCTTGATCAAGGCCTAGAAAAACAAAAGCCAAAGCAAGGAAAAAATGTGTTATGGAGTTCACCCATCAAGCCCCAATGACCACACATGACAAAACCTAACTTAGCCATACTTTACTCTATTCCATAAGTATATCCCAGGAGACAACATACTTTTAAAGAATGAGCTCAAATTCTGTCTTGTCTAGGAAGAGTGCACCTTAGTGCACTTAGTAAGAGTGCACCTTTCCCTAAATGTATAAAATTTATTTAATTTAATATGCCTCACATCTACTAGCAGAATTTCAATGTTTTAACTGCAGACTCTCTCCAATTAAATAGAAGCACCTCAGTAGCCATGTGCATATTCCTTCACATATTTCTCATATTCAATTAAGCCCAACATTGTGCAAGATACATAACTTGGTATATTATCTAATAAGTCTATGTTGAATGGATGAATCAAATAATCCTTTTCCATTGAAAATGTATCTAGGAGTAGGTCCAGGGCTTATATTCAGACCAAATTATAATTTTTCTATTTATAGATTAATTTATATCCTCTATTCTTATATCCCTTATCTATCAAGGTCAAACTGATGCCAAGAGATCAAGCAACATTTGTTGGTTTATCCTAGCAAAAAAGAAAGTATATATACCCCTCTAGTTGGTTTGTATTCTGAAACAAATCAGAGTCTGAGTTCTGGGTTGGCCTCTCTATCTTGATAGAACCTAGAATAATACTTTTTCTGTAGCAGAAACTTTAATTAATGTGGTGTAAGATGAGAGACAGAACATAGTTTGATAAAACACAAGTCAGTATTATTAGCTCTTTTCTCAATCTTCCTCCATTGGTTGAGAGAATTTGGAACTGGTCTCCTAGTAGATATAACCCCCCCCAGTTCTGTCAACAGCATTTATTTAGTATAAGTCGTTGAGTTTTGAGTGGCTCTAACTTACAACAAATTAGCTGTACAAGTGATATTTGTTTTGACAGAATGAAAGGAATACTTCCTTGCTACATGGTTGTGGTCTCTCCTTTAGGTAAGACAGGCAGCAGGGTTGTCCCTTTTTCGTTAGTATAGTTTAACTTCAAAAGCTGAAGAAATCTCAGACTTCCAAGAACATAGAGCCCAACCACGTCTTTTTTAGATTGATACACCTTATTTTTTCATATTACTCACATTTCTGGAAAGAGGATAGCTATTTTCTGGACATCAAGATAATTTAAAGGAAAGCAGTAAGAGAGAGAATACCACCATGCCCGTTGAATGTATTGGATACAAAGTTGTAGAAGCCAGATCTCAGGTGTTCACCTGTTCTTAGGGCAGAACATATGTTTCATTGACTTCACATTTGAATTTAAGCCAAATATCCAGATTCTTTATGCATTTGTTGATGTGCATCTTCTTTGGAAAGAAAATATCTTTTGGAACAACACAAACTATGCCAAAGACCATTTCCCTAAGTAGTGAGAAATATGGAAAGCCAGAAAGATCTTCCTGCCACATGGCTGAGTAAAATGTCTGAGGGTCACCTTGGCCAACGATAGTAGACTGTTTATAGGGGCAGAGATGCACTCGTTCCTGTTCATCTTCCACTTGGAGCCTACACATTCGTAAGTGATGACCCCGCCGAGATTGCCAGGTCTGTTGGAAACACTGGTGAACCGACACAGTTTCTGGATAACTTTCCCAGGTTCTCCAGCACCTATGATGGGATCTTGGCACGTGATGTTCTTTCCTGTATTAGAAACACATAATTAAAAGGGACAATGGAAAAAAAGAAAAATAGTGGAAATAGGAACAGATAGACGTAAGACTCTGATGTTTGAATTATTATTTCCTTTCAATTTCAGTGCTCTTTCTGGAGCTATGTAATTTCTTAATTTTGTTCCTGATTTTCCAAAACTTTTCATGAATCTTCACACAAACCAACTTCTCCAACCTGCATTGTGTTTTCTAACAGTATTTATTTTCTTTATATTCAATTTCCATCTCCAATTCCCAGAAATACTCTCTACTATGGAGAAAATCTAGATCTTTAAAATGGTGAGCACCAAATGTGAATTCATCTACATAAGAGACACCAACTATGCAAGAATCTTGTAGGCACAAAACCTTAATCCAGGGATTCTCAACTTTGGTATATGAGAATAACCTGAGAGATGTTTGGAATCTGCCATCATCCTAGGTAATACTAGCCCAAGTAAATCAAGATTTCCAGAGATGGGATTCAGGCATCAGCAGGTTTTTAAGCTTCCTTGGTAATTCCAATACACTTCTGAGGTTAAGAAGCACTGCCATACTTCCTTTTATATATTTCTTAGTATATATTTGAGAAGGCAAGAGGAGAGAAGACAGAGATAAAGAAATACCATATGCTGGTTGATTTCCACAATGCCTGCAATGGCTAGCCCAGGCCAAAATCTGAGAGTCAAGAACTTAATCCATGCTTCCTATGTGGGACAGCAGATATGCAACCTGCTGAATCCTAGGGTGTGTAGTAGCAGGCAGCTAAGAAATAGGAGCAGAACTAGAAATTGAACCACAGCACTCCAGTACTGGATATGATCATCCCACACAGCATCTTGCCCATTAAGCCAAAAGCCCAACCCACATTGCCAAGCACCTGTGTCCTAAAGAATCTTAGCAAAATGTTTAAGCATTTGATCCTTCTGACTCCCCACATGTGTGACTTTGTCCTATTTGTTTCGTGTTATATATGACTAGATAAGAATGGGCAAATGACATCTATTGCAGAGTCTCTAGAAAACCTTGACTCTGATGAACAGATCCTGGACTCCCAGCATATTTATTTATTGTTAATTGAGATTTCAACCATTGCATACAGTCTTGAACTAAATAAGAAATGTGTACTGGGAAAATGAATGAGAACAGAATCAAGTGAACAGAACATGCTGAATCAGATGGACAGTTAAAGAGTAATCATTGCTGCCACCTGGAGGGTCTGTGCTTACACAGAGGAGCAGGACCACAGACCACTCACTAAAACAGACCCGCAGGGTGGAGAAACCAGGTATCCTGCCTGTCTGTTAGTGTCAAGATTCAGATGAGGCAGGGCTTTGCTTAGTCCCTTTCCCTGTGCTGGTATGGTAGAGGTCTCTTCAGCATGTGTGATCACAGAAATGGCTTCATGAATCATAACCTTTTCCTTAAAGATATTATGGAGGGGGCATATTGATCCTGAGATGCTAAGGGATGGGAAAGGCAATTGCCAATCTTTAGATCAATTACTCTCCTGTAGCCTGTCTCAGGAAAAGGGTGCTCATGATAACAAAATTTGCTGAAATCTCCAAGCAATCTAAGCTGCACACAGATAGTACCCACTCTTCACCTTAGCCCTCCAGACTTAACAGAACCATGATTCCATCTGCAAGTCCTTCCTGATCTCTCCTTCCCCATCCACCATCAGCTTTTTCTGTCTACCGTGGTATCTCTAGCTCTGAATGTACCACATTGCAACTGATAAAACAATTTTTAAAATCATTGCTACCTGACCCTTAGGCTCAAGGATTTATTTTCTAGTTTCCCATGGTTAGCCCAAGGCTTGCCAAAATTGCAGTGTTTGACATCTATTTATGAAATAGATGAAGATGTGAATATATGATACCTGATAATGACTACAAAGTTTTAGAATAATTTTAAGCACAACTTACCTGGGACCACATTCAGCTTGATAGCTTGGCTCTGGACTGAATTATTAGCAGCATTAGTAAAGCGACAAAACATATTGATACTCTCTGGACAACGCGAAATTGAGTTTGCCATCAAATCGTGTTTGTAGCACACTTGCTTTCCATTGATTTCTTTTGCTAAAGACAGAGTTGTTAAAATAATTATGTTTCAGTGTTGAGTTTTCAAAGTATACATTTTGCTAACATAGCTGAATATGTATAAGATTGTCTAAACAGTTTTTACAGGAAAATTTCACATCATTTTTAAACAAGGGTTTACATGTGTGTTAGCCAAAATGTCACTTCTGTCATTTATGATTGCAAACCTATGCTCCCATATTTTTGACAAGTGGAATCCCTTTTCAATATCCAAATCTTCTACCTACCCAAAACCCATCATGCTCTGTGCATTTTGCTTATTCCACTACCTTCTTCACTTTAGGCTTTGGTCACCTTCTTTTGGGTCTGTATTTTCCACTTGCCCATAACTTTCTGTTGAGAAAAGTACCTGGTTTTATTTACCTTTGCATCTCCCAGAACTTAGCTTAGAATCTGCCACATGAAAGTCACTGAATGCAAGCCTGTTGGAAACACTGAATACTGGAATACTGGAATCTTCAATATCCAGATTCATGCCATTCCACCCACCATGAAACTCTCTAAATTTCCAGCCTTAACTGAATTTAGACTTTTCTGAACTTTCATTGTTCTTACTTTTTTGCTACTTTGAGTAATGCTATCTGTTTTGCTCTTTATGACATAGACCATCATAGATATTAAAATATGCACAGTACTTCCTTTGTCTCATTTTCACTGCTTACTATAATGCTGTGCAGGAAGCAATCCCAAAGACTAGCTATTGAAAGAAGGAATGAGCTTATAAATTCCTTGTGATGGTGTCTGTGTTTTGAGATTTAGAATTGTAAACTTGCATTTTATTGATGTTAATCCCTGAGAATCCTGAAATATTTGAATTGAGAGTACACTACACTGGGATGAATTATATATGTATAAACACACACTCTCTCTCTCTCACACACACACACACACGTGTGTGTGTGTGTGTGTGTGTGTGTGTGTGTGTGTGTGTGTGTGTGTATCCAGATGGCATCAGATGCTAAAAGTGAAACGTTTTAACCCAATTGCTTCCTAGCTTGGAATTCCAAACCACCTAGGCAGTAAAAACTTAAAGTCCAAGGGGCCAACTCTTGGATTTGGTAGACTAAGCCTCTGCCTGTGGCACTGGCATCCCATATGGGTACCAGTTTGTGTCTTGGTCACTCTACTTCCCATCCAGCCCTCTGTTTATGGCTGGAAAAGCAGCAGAAGATGGTCCAAGGCCTTGGGAACCTGCACCCATGTGGGAGACCCAGAAGAAGCTTCTGATTTCTGGCTTTGTATCAGCTCAGGTCTGGCTATCGTGGGCATTTGGGGAGTGAAGTAGAGGATGGAAGACATCTCCTTCCTTTCTGTAATTTTGGCTTTAAATATAAATAATTTAAAAGTTAAGCGCAAATCTAAGTAAATAAAATATGGTTTTAATTCTCAGGGAAAAGTGTCCCCTACACAGAGATGAGGCCAAATTTTCACTGGGAGATGGATTTTGCTTTTCTACAACTCTTACTGAACATGTCTCACTTTAAAGGTTCTGATGTTGTCTTGATGGCGGATGGGAATAGTGGTGTCACAGTTACTGCTTAGGGAGTACTTTGTGTTATATCTCATTCTCCCACATCAAAACGTAAAAGCTAAAGTGCTGAGTTTCTAATATTGGCAACTATCTACAGCAAAGTCTCAGCTAAAATATTATTTCGTTTCCTTTCCTCTATGCTTTTGGCACTTGGTTAATTCTCCCTATTGCTTTGCATGAATAGGGAGGGCTGTAGAAGGTGATTGTGGCACTTTAATATCATTCTATTATATAACATGGCGGGGGTGGGGGGGACTTGAGAATATCCACGCCACCATATGAAGGAAGTAAACATCCTAGAAACTTATTTTAATACTATCTTTTGCAGTTTTTGCTGAAAAAAGAAAAAAAATCTTTATACCCTCCTAGACCCACAGAGTGTTGCCAAAAACCAATGAACCCCAGGTCTATCACTCAGTAGAAGGAAATTAAGGCTCATGGGGTCCTGCTCTGGTGTTCTATTTCTGATACATTTGCTATGCTTTATAATCCATAGTTTGTGAGTATGCTTTTAGACTGTGCATGTGTGAAGTAGTTAGTATACTCTAATAATCCAGAAGTTGGCATCTTACCAGCAGGAAAGGATAAGGGACCCATGTGGAAAGTGACTATGTAATCTTCATCGTCCTCTACACAGCACCTGGCACTGTGGGAACTTCCGCATGAAACACTGGCTTCCAGAGGATCCAACATGATGTTTGGCTGTAGAGGCAGTGGGTAAACAGTGACATCCTTGGTTGCAATGCTGTATGAATTCTTATATCTAAATATGCAGTGATAGGTTCCTGAGTGGAAAGAAACAGAAATGAGATGGAATGAAATAACTGCTCCCAAAAGCCATTTGCTATAAACATTAAGAAGGACATGGTTCTCCCTCTCAAGTGTGTGTAAAGATACATCACGACTTTCTGGATCCTGGTGCAGAAAATGCTCGACTGACTTCCCTCCTGTGGACCCCATCTGTTTGAAGGATTCATGTGCTTACTTAAAAACCAAATTAAATGGTTTATTCAGGTCACATTGCCTATTAGGGGTAAAATTGTTTTGAACCAGGCTACCTATTTATACCCCAATGCAGAAAACAAATGGGAGTGTGGGAACATGAAGCTCTGCATCTTTTTTTTTTTAAAGAGAGATGTTGCCCAGATAGAGCACTGAAGTGTCATGACATTAATTCTCTCCTCATCAGTAAGTGAGCTGGTCCTTCAGATTCCAGAGGACAAGCCACCAACAAGATTATAATGACACATGCAGTAAGAACCTTGATGCTCCTTACATTCTTTCTTTTCTTCAACTCTGGAAAGAAAAGAAGTAGAACAGGGAAAGAAAAAGAGTTCTTTTGATTCTAGCTGGGAGAGGAAGGAATTTAAGTTAACATAAAATGAAAATGCAGATTTAGAGGTTTCAGTTCTTACTTGGGTTTTCTTAATGTTTTAACCATGACTGGAAAAGACAGGTCTTCCTAGGGACTCCCCAGCAGGAGAGTGCATTTCAACCGAGTAGGTTTGAAGTTAACTTGGGAGAAAAATGCTCCCATGTCCTGATCGTGTATTATGAAGGCCAGGCTGAACAGTAACTAGTAATTTCCACAGTGTTGCTTAAACTTTACATGAAAGGATAACGCCATTGGTCTCATCAAATCTGGAATGATTAACCTTAATGTTAATGAAAGTCTTCTAAATAAAATGGAAGAATTGGCCCCTGGAGCCAGACAATGTGAATCTGCCTCCCAGATAAATGACCTGGGAATATTTGCTTAACCTCCTGGGACCTCAGTTCTTGTCTGTGTAAAATAGGCATAATAATAGCACTGTCCTCTATATACTGTTTTTAATTAATAAGCACATTTAAATACCTTGTACAGTGCCTTTTATATAATAAGGTGGCAATGGGGGTAGCTATTATTATGACTTCAGAATTTCCTCCTCTTTCAAAGGAATGCATTTCCTTCTAACATGAATAATGTGTAGAAACAACTTGAAAGTTGGTTTAGCATCATGGTATAGTGAGTCAAATTGCCACCTGTAATGTCAGATTCCATATTGAAGCACTGGTTGGAGTACTGGCTGCTCTGTTTTCAATCTAGCTCCCTGCTAATGTGCCTGGGAAAGCAGCAGAAGATGGCCCAGGTACCTGGACTTCTGCCACCCACATGGAGACTCAGAGTTTCTGGCTCCTAGCTTCAACCTGGCACAGACCTAACTGTTGCAAATAGTTTGGTGAGTAAACTAGCAGATGGAGGACCTCCTTCTCTCTGTCTCTTTCTCTTTGTAACTTTGCATTTCAAAAAAGAAATCTAAGAAATAACTAGAAAATGAAAGTAGTTATTTCTGTGAAACTCCACATCTAAAAGGTTACCTGGTTTTTCTGCTTTTATGGTAGCGTTGTGTGAATGTGTCCCAGAGACCAATAGAAATATCCTCTTAATTTAATGGAAAGAGAAAAGATTCAGACTAGTTCCAACTCTGGGTCCACAGCATAAGTTGTGTGTACCTATATATATTTATTTGCCTCTGTGAGCCTCAATTTTCACCTTTTGAAAATGGAAATAACATTCTCCTCAAAAGGTCTGTTGTTTCAAGTATGAGGACATAAGAAGTCTGAAAACTTGACAGAAAATAAAATTTAAAGGTATGTTTGTTTTGGTATAAAACAACTTTCAAATGCATGCATGCAAGGGATCATCAAAAAAAGTTCAGGGAAAAAATAATATTGTAGAGAAGCAATGCATGTGTACACATTTTTTTTGCACCCAGGTAAACATGCTTTAATATTATTCTTCCACAATCTTTATGAGGCCCCATCCTACTGAATGTCAAACAGTTGGCAGAGGTGTGTCCTTGGACAGACCCTCTATGAAAGGCAACCCAGAACTGTGTCTTTCAGAGACCAGGAAGCATAGCACAGAGCTGGGCTTCACTCACCATTCCACTCCCTGGTGGACGTCTTGACTGTCAGTTCTGATACTGCTCCATCGGGGAACCTTCTCGTGGTATAAAACCTTTGATATATTTTAATTCCAGCAGAAGTGTTCCAGTATACCTCATCATAGTTACTCACATCACTGATGCATTTTATAGAAAAGTTTTGTCCCTCAGAAACAGAAATTGGGTCCGGGGTTATTGTTATGTTGGCTGAAAGAATGCAAACAAAACAGACAAAACAAAACCAACAACAAATGCCATGTTTAGTCTTTCTGGAGGTATTGACACACAGATGAAATTTTAGACAGAGACAAATGGCCGTCCTGACTGTGCTGTGTCAACGCGGGACTGGTACCTTGCTGCTCCTGGGCTTTACTTGTCTCTAGGCTGTTCCCGGTGGTGCTCTGAACTGTACTCACTTCCATCACATGCCCGAGGAACTCGTGCACTTCCCTTTTGTGGCTGGAATTATCTCCTGATGATTAGCAGGGCAAAAGGTTGCAAACTTAGGGGTGTTGACATAACCGAGTTCCCATCCAACCTCTTTTGTGACACCACAATGAAGAATACATGACTGGCTTTCTCCACAACTTCATCCTCTGCTCTTGGAAAATACTTTGTTGTAATGCCATACTGTACATTAATTTTTCTCCTTTCTTCCTTCTCCATCCAGATGTGAGCCTTCCAGAATAAGCCTTTTGCTTTTTTGTCTTTGCATGCTTAGCACCTACAGCTGGGTCCAGTACACACTCGGTACTTAACAAACAAAAGAGTGAGTTCCAGAACCATGTTTTAGGTAGGGGACTCACAGAGTTTATTGCCCAAATATTTACATTTAGACCATCTTAGGCAAACTGGGGTGGGCATATGCCTCAATTATAATTATATAACTATGGTAATCTAATTCTTTATACATTTTGAATGATTCTTATTAGCAACTACATATTTCCTTCTTTTTTCTGAGAAGTTTCTCATAGGCTTATGAGAGATTATTCATGAAAATTATCAACTTAATTATTACCAATAGAAAAGCTTAAGATGAATTCCACCCATTTTTGCCTCTATTCAGCTGTTCTGTTTGTCCTGCAGCATTCCTTTCATATGACATTAGAAAATGTCATTAACTTCAGACTTTCAATGGTGTACAGTTTCATGCCTTAAGTCCACTTCCACTATCCTGCTTTCAAACCATTGTGAAATTTTAAGCATAATACAAAGAATCCAGGATTTTCATTACATCCTTTAAGAAACTGGAGTTCAAATGGTCACACATGGCCCAAAAGTCACTGAAACATGATGTAGTGTTCTTTGTAATTGTTAGCTGTTTCTGACAGTGGAAAGGAAAAGGTTTGTGGAACCATGCATTTTTTTTTTCTCTTGGCCAGTGACTTTTCAGCAAAGGCTAACCATCTTCCTAAAATATGTTCCGCTTTGCACAATTTGGAGAAAAGTCAAGCTTTGACATGTTATTGACCTAGAAGAAATCCTAGGTATTTTTGAGTGATTTGAAGTTTTCCAAAAAGATAGCAGTTAAATGCTTCCAGTTTCCTCTTTGGGAATTGTGTTGATAATATATGCTTACCTAGACCTATTAATGATCCTTTCCAAAATGCTAAATCACAATAGCAAATATACAAACCAGAGTAACTGGTATTTTTTATGTTAGTCCTTCCTCTCAGTTCAAACAAAATCTGGTGATTTACCTAAACAATTTTTCCAAGAAAGTTGGAAAACCAAGCTTGGTTTTCCCATTTTTTGCAAATGAGTAGAAATTTTAACACTTTGTGATGTGAAAAGAAATGCAGATTTATGAACCCAATTGTACTGAATAGATAAGGGGACTAAAAACACCTATTTCAACTGTAAAATAATTATCATTAATCGTATTATCAAAGTTTAGACAGCATAACCTCTAGAATAGGCAGGGAGGATGGAGGCAGATGAGGATTTTATAAGGAGTGAGCCAGGCCGTTGGAATCCAAGAAATGGATAATAAGATTGTGTGAGCAAAAGGGGCATTAAGAGTGCCAATCTCATCATTGATTGAACAGTAATGAGACTAACCTGGGTGGGAAACTCTAGTTCCCAGATCATGTTCTCCCTTACCAATGCAGTGGAGCCAGTTTCTTCTCTGTAAACACTCTTTCCCATCACTCCCCTTCCTCATTGTAAAAAGAATTTTTCCAGATTTAAGTGTTGGAGAGAGAAACCTCTTCTATGCCCCATGGTGTAATATCTCAACTACCTGAGGTGCATTATATTTTATAAAATACAACCAACTCTGTGATTAAGATTTGTAGCAAGGGGTACTTACCCACAGAGATGAATGTCACTTCTATGTTCATACTGCCTCTGGCTCCATGTGCACTAACGAACTCACATGTGTAGGTGATTGTTGTTCCAGCGTACCCACTCAGGCATTGTGTTCCATCAGCCTTGAGGGTGTATCTGCTGCAACTAGACTCCAGGTCTGTTTCAGACTCTCCTGAAATGACAAAAACAATTCTTGTGCTGTCAAGCCCAAATGACTCTGGCTTTAGTGGTAACTATGTCAAATCGGTAAGAGTTACTGTTTTAATTAGATTTCTACTCTACGAATGGAAAGGTGGGATAGTCCCGGGGATGGGTTGGCAGATGCTGCACTCAGGAGTTTTGGCTTCCCAAATTCTACTATTCATGAGCAGAACAGTCACTCAGTCTGTACTGTGCCTCCATCTCTTTGGGTGTCAAATGGGGATAAACAATTAGTAGATGCTCCCAGGACTACGTTCAAGTCATGAGATAATGGACAGTGACTGCCCTGGACATGGCTCCTTCGAAGATCTTCAATGGTTGAAACTGGAATGTGAAAACATAAAAGAGGGAAAAAATGTTTGGGTGTTACTTTAACTGGAAGGATGCTGGAGTCAGCAGCCAGAGCTGGGAATCATAAATACTACTGGTATTTAGTGGCTAGAGGCCAGAGTTGGTGCTAAATATCCTATAATGCACAAGGCAGCTGCTCATAAAAAGATAATCTAATCCAGGATGTCAACAGTGCAGCTGCTGAAAATATTTTTGCTTGAAGATGAGATTGAACAGTTAAATTAGAAAACTAGTATAAGCAAAAGCACAAAGCAACAACACATAGGTCTTATTCAGGAAATAACAGATAATTATGAGGGGCTTAAAAATGCAGAATGAAAATGGAGGTGTGACACCAAAAGGATGGCAAACTCAGAAAACCAAAGTAGGACCTTCATCTGAAAAAAAATGATGATAATGATGTGTACTTCACAAGATTTTTACCTTGGGAAAGAAAGATTTAACTGATTAAAGTAAGCACAGGAAACAGAGTTGAATACACTGAATCTGCCACAACAGCTATTTTGTAGTTAATGATGATACTGTGAAAGAACATCCCCTTTTGCTTTTTTGCAATGTGGCCAAGAATTTTCATTAAATATTATTCCTTTAAAAATGATTTAAAAATCTACTATTCTTAATTATTTTCTTTCAATCTTATTGTTTTACATAATACTTTGAAAATGTTAGCTCTTGTGCCCACTGCTATAATCCAGTGACTTAATCCTTGCCTTGAATGTGCCAGGATACCATATGTGTGCTGATTCATGTCTTGGCTGCTCCACTTCCCACTTAGCTCCCTGCTTGTGGCCTTGGAAAGCGGTCGGGGAAGTCCCAAAGCCTTAGGACCCTGCACCCAGGTGGGAGATCCAGAAGCTGCTCGCTTCAGATTGGCTCAGCTCTGGCCTTTGTGGCCACTTGGGAATTAAACCAGCAGATGGAAGATTTTTCTCTCTCCTTCTCTCTGTAAATTTGCCTTTCCAATAAAAACAAATAAATCTTAAAAAAACAAAAATGTTAACTGTCAGAATAAATTGTAAAATCAGTATAAATTCTTTAGGGAGAATTATCTGCTAGATTGCTTCTTTCTGACCTGGAAGGACAGGCACTAAAAGAATGTGTGGCATTTGCAGCAAGAAAGCTGCACAGAGCAAGCCAGGAGGAATGGAGGGAGAAGGGCAGGGTGCCAACACAGAGGCTAATTGCATCAGAGAACTGACTGTGCAGATCCTCAGGTGGCTGGCCTGGTGGCAGGAAATCCTTTGTTCTAGAGTGGATTCAGCACACACTGGGCATTGGCAGTGTCCGAAGAAATGGTTGCCAAAGAGGTCCCTAAGCATCTGCACTAGACTTCCTGGTTCCTCTGCCAGAGGGCAGGGTTTTTTCACCTCTTCAAGTTGAAAGCTTCAAAGTCAGTACCAGGGGGAATTATGCAAGGTCTTTCTCCATCTGGTAGTTCCTTCAGGATGCATACACCTCCACTTCCCCCAAAATCAGGAAAGTGACTAAACACCTTATATGTTAATATTTTTGACAGTTGCCAGATGCTTTTTCCATTCATCTGAGTGAAGCTGATTACAGACAATGCAGGTGAAAATACTTTGCAAAATAGGTATCTTCAGGAAAACATGCATGTAAGCTGGTCATCTATTTCACATTTAGCATGGTCTAATATCAAGAGCTTTGCAAACTGAGGCTCACAATACTAATATTTCTCATAGACAAAGGCATATTTTGCTTTGAAGATTGTTTTTTCTCTTTAAAGGTGAGCATGCAGTACTGTTTATTCTCAAAAGAGGTGGACTTTGTACTTCAAGGTTTCCAGATACAAAACATTGTGTTCAGATAGCTCCACTCTGACTCACCAGAAATGGTAATTTGACCACAATAAACACTGGAAACAAGAGCTAAGTTGAATCCAGTTCTTATCACAGTGTGACAATCTTTGATAAGTCATTTATTCTGCACCTGATTTTCTTATTTGCAAATAAGAGGTGAAGATTGAATTTGGTTCAAAACAACAGCTTTTTTAAAAGAAGAGTTTAATCATAGACTCTAGCTGATCACAGAGTCAATATGTTCTTTTATCTGTTACCATTCTTCATCAATATAAAGCAGATGATGGGGAACGTCAAAATTAAGATCTCAGATCTAAAACAAAAGACAGGATCTGAAATAGATAGGAAACACTTGAAAGACAAACAGAAACATTAAGCAGGAGACAGAGGCAGAACACACTAAAGTGTGTGAGATCACAAAGACAGAAGTGAAAGGGAGAGACAACAAAAGAAGAAACACAGAACTGAGAAGTGCCAAGTCAGATAGCACTGAAAAGCCAGCTCACTGCTCAGGGTGGGAAGGAGGTTGGAGATGGCCTTTTCTTCAGCCTGGTGGGGTTATAGACCAAAGTCTTTAGGATCACTGCCACTTGGGTCTTCTGCTAGTGGGAATGGATTGAAATCCAAGCAGAACACTCGCATGTGTATTTTGAACTTTTGTGCTCCAGTTCCTGAACTGGCATTATACAAGACGTTACTTCCCAGTCTGCCATACAAAGGAAAGCAGACATTTGACATTTTTCCCTCCACTCACTAGGTCTCCCATTTTAACTTGCTCAAGACATAAATATTAAAGTACAAAAGGGCTTATCTTGCATTCTTACCTGGAATGCTTATTTTTCCTTCCTGCTTCCATTCTACTGTGCTCCAATTAGCATTATTCTCACTGCAGCAATTCAACGACACAGGATTGTTGTCACACATCACCTTCATTTCCTCACTTGCCAAAATTCGAATAGGTACAACATCTATTTTTTTCCTGGCCTCATATTCAAAAATATCCAATATCAATTTGCAGACATATTCACCTGCACAGGATACATAAAATTATTATTGTTAGATAAATGTATTTCTTTAGATGAATAACAGTTTCATTTCATATTTCCTAATGAGTTCCATGAAGCATAATTTTCAAAGTCATCTGAGATGCCACCTACACTCTCCTGGAGTAACATGTAGGAAGTGCGGAGGTCACCGGGTGTTTGTGGTTCCACAAGGGAAGGAGTAGAGATCTAGTAGAAACAGTAGCAGCATTGCTGGGAATTTAGCTAATAAGAATAAACATGTGTATGAATAGAAGAGATAGGAAAAAATGAGGAAGTTTTGGAGAATTAGAAGGACATGAACAGTTTTGGTGTCCCATTTAACTCTTTGAAAACTCAGAATCAACAAAGATGGGACAGAAGTGTCCACTTTATCATACAGAGAAAAGGAAATGGTCCTGTTGACATAGGGGCTACTGTGGAGTTAAAAATGCATCTTCCTCAGTATTAGCCTTGGTCAAGAATCAAAATACTATTCTGCTATCTCCTGGAATGGTAAGGTGGACAGGAAAGCCAGAGGAAGGGGTTACAATGCAATGTAAGAAAATCTGAGAGGGAAGGCAATGGATAAGAACATTACCTTGATTCTGGTGAGGGCTTCATAGGTGTGTATGTGTCAAACTTTATTAAGTCATGTATTTCAGAGTATTCAAAATTTATTACATCAATTCTACCTTAATAAAACTACTTTAAACTTTTAAGAAGAAAATTGAAAATGAATTAATAACAACAATAATACAAAAGTGAACATCCAATGCGTTATTGAAAAAACTGAACCAGAAGACAATTGTGGTGCAATTGCTTTACTTACATGCTTCATTTTTAGTAATATGTACCATCTATGAACTTTTTAAAGAATACTTTGTATAGGTAAAATAATAAAAATTAACTTCATGGAATTAATTTTTAATTGTGATAAGCCAGGAGGTTTCTTTTTGAAGACAAAAAACACACTGGCTATCCTATAACATGACTTGTGTCTTTATGAGATTTTCCCTTATCCCCTCACACAAGTTGTTGACTGGAAACCCACCAGCATCACCCCTTGAGATGTTGTAAATGGTGAGGTGAGATACGGAGGTCATGTTGTTGAGCACGGTGGTATACACTGAGAATCTACTGCTGTTTTGAATGTCGAAGCGCCTTTCTACATGGTGCCAAGACACGTTGGAAGACATAACCTCAGTTTCACATGTCAGTCTTACTGTGTCCCCTTCAAAGATGATTTCTGGTGTAACAAAGAACTTAGTTTCATCTGGAAAACCAAAGGAAAGATATTAGGACACCGAAGCAAACAAATGACATTTATGCTCTTCCCAGAGTGCTACCACCACAGAGCGGTTTATGGGCAGTGTGCCTGAGCTGTGTTGGATAAGGCAACATGTTACCTTTTTCCATCCTCTTCACTGTGTCCAAAGCCCACTGACCACTTGTCAGTCTCCAGAGACACAGTTTCCAGGCTGCGGGATTTGTACTGTATGACTTAGGAAACCAAAGATAACTTAATAGTGGTAGATGGGGGACCCTGAAGTTATTTCCAATATTTCAGAAAACCTGATTGAAAATTATACCTCTGTTTGTAAAAAAAAAGTCACATAGGCAAATAAAAACTGCAAGTTGTTTTGTTACTGAGTAGAATCATGTCAACAGGCTCTTACCAAGCACTGCTACCTCCTGCTCATTGAAACATCTCACCTAAATCCTTGAAAACACTAATGACTTACTGATAATACAGAATTCCAGGGAAATAAGAAAAAAAGTTGTAAATCATTATTTTGTATTTTTATTTGAAAGGCAAAGTTACAAAAAGAAGGAGAGACAGACAGATGTTCTATTTGCTGATTCACTTCCCAAAAGGTCTCAATGGCAGAGTTGAGACTATCTGAGGATAGTTTCCTCTGTATGTTTTCCTCTGAGTTTCCTCTGTATATCCTATGGGCGTACAGAGGTCCAAAGCCTTGGGCCATCCTCCACTGCTTTCCCAAACCATTAACAAGGAGCCAGATGGGAAGTGAAACAGCTGGGACATGAACCGGCATTCATATGGGATGCTGGCACTACAAACAGACGATTAAGTAGCTATGTCACAATGCCAGCCCTAGGAAATAAGATTTTTTGAAACGCCTAATACCTATGACTCCTTAAAGGTGGGACATTCTCTGTGTGTAGATTTGAAGAACCTGCTTAGCCTCAATGAATCTCACCTTTCTTTCCTGGAAAATAGGAGCAGTGAGAGCTATCTAGGGAGATGACTTGGGGATGAAAGCAGTTATTATTATTGTTTTAGAAATAAGGTTGCAAAGAATCAATGCAGTGAATCATTTCCCAGATAAAAACTGAAACCGACATTGGTTATTTCTATGCTGTTGAATGAATGCCATTTGCTTATACAGTATACAGGGGGTATTTTCTCTAAACTCTGATGTTTTGTGGAAGTTTTGTGAGCTGAAAAAAATCAAAGGAACTGGTGTAAGGAGGCTCAAACTGTCCTCTTGTACATGGAGAGCTTAGGCTGAGGCCAGACGCCCCACATACTATAAATATGAGAATAAGACACTACAAAATTAATTTGTGGTGGTAGGATGTTCTAATCTAAACATTAAGATATATGAATATTTTCTATCACTTCATTTAGGTCCCTGCTTAAAACAGGATTCTAAAAACTAAAAGTCAGTAGAAATCACGATCCTCTGTGGGTATTTAATGTAGCATGTCGAACTCACTAGACATACGCAAATGAAACACTAGTGTATGGAAGTGCTAAGATTAATATAGAATAGACGTAGTGTGTCACTGTTTCTATTACTCTTGCTATTAATAAGGAACATTAGATGAGCTTTCAGTATTACATGGTTATATAGGACTGAACATAAATCTAACAAGTAAAACGAGAGAAAAAAAATGGTGCTGTGGCTTAGGGACATGGTGATTGATTAAATGTCCCCGGATGATTAATATGCAAAAATCAGACAGCACTATTCAGAGGACTCATGGGCCTTTTGCATGCCATACAGATAGACAAACAAGAAATCCTGGTAACAACTGACTCATTCCAAAATGTTCCTGTTGCCCTCCTCAATCCTAAGCATGATTAAAATTACAAGAAACTAAAGGAAAACCTGAGTCATCTGTATTTTTGAATGTCTGTGGTCCAGGTTAGCAGCACCGACCTTGGGAGACCAAGATGGTATCACACTTTCTCCATAAGATTGCACCTGAGCTAAGCTCAGTTTTCTAGACCTGTGCACATCAGAGATTCATATTCTGGCCTCAGAGGAGAGCAGATATCAGTGCAGACGATCTGCAACCGAAGATGTTAAATGCTGTGGTCACAATGATCTCACAGCTCTTTGGAAGAACAAGTCACAGACAGGAGCAGTGTTGTGAATATATTGTGGGCAGTGCATGCCTGGTTGACAGTCAGCTCTATCAATAAGACTGCTGAACACCTACTCATTTAAATAGCTTACCATTCTCAGCACACTGAAATCTTGGGGAAAAATAAATCATAATCGAAGTTTGAGCATTCTTAAGAATATTGTTCTATGCCTCCAAAATAAAAGAAGTTTTCAGTTCAAAGACAGTGAATCTACTGGTTATTGGGTGACATAAGGCATTGGTAAGGGGTCGCATTGCTGATTCCCCCAACGTGAGCCAAACTTGAAGGCCATGTGTTTAATTTTAGGGTTTTTGTTTTTGTTAAGGAATGGATCAGAAGCAGACTGGAATTGGGCTTCTGGAAAGCTGGTATCACAAGTGGTGACTTAACCCACCCTGCCAGAATACAGCACTCTCAGTAAGTAAGTTAGAAATTCCACAAATCCAAACAGCAGTACACTCTCATGAACCTTCTGCTACCCTCTCTCCTGTGCACCAGATGCAATGATATTATCCAGACTGGGACACATTGCTTTTTAGGGAAGATAGCACTGGGAACAGAAATGGGAGGTCTCTTTCACAGGGAACGTGAAGACATCGCTCCTGGGTCGAAGCACAGTGATAAACACCATGGCCACAGCTAAGCAGAATTTGCTTTCAGGAAAAGGCAACAATGTTTCACTTACTGCTCGTGACTGTTTGAAAGGAATTGTAATCCATTTTGTAGGTCTGACTGAGGTTCTGCAGGACTTGCTCGTTGGCTTTGTGTATTAATTCAGGTGATACTGCTGTTGTTGTGACTTCATACTTTACAACCACGCTTCCAGGCCTGAACAGAAACCACTCTGTTAATCTGTAAGAAGCTAGAACCTTATGGTTATTTGCATCATAGGAATACAAACAGGGACAGCCTGGTACTACGATCCTTTGGATTCAGTGATCTAAGTCTGTTCCCAAGCTCTAGTTGGAAACACAAGTCAAGGCTCGAATACTGAGGTGTGTGTGGACAGGTAATCACTGGAAAAGGCTGGCAGATGGGGACCAATGAACTGAATCAAATAACCACTCCTATAGGCAGAAACTACTGACATCTGTCTCACAGCAACATTGGTCAGTCTGAGATTATCAGATACTCTGAATATTATGTGACACCAAAAATCAATCTGGATGTCCCTGCAGATACCCAAGATTCCTTTTTTTTTTTTTTTTTTTTTTTTTTTTTTTTTTTTAAGATAAGCACCTGTTAGAAATACTGCGCAAACCCTTTCTGAGCTGCCAGGGCACTCAACACTAGGGGGTGCTGTTCACATTGCCGCACACAGCTCTGTTCCAGCCACAATTGTCTTCTCATTTGAAGATATCATTGCCTGACTTGTTTCATTTTTATATGTATTGGTCCTCTACTGTACAAACTTATCCCATATATTTATTTTTTAAAATCTCTTGCATGCATATAAGGAACACAAATATTTTCCCCTTCCTTTTGCATGGATGTGCATAGGTAAGGCATAAGTTACTCATTATATCCTCTCTTCATGTCTCTACAATCTCACTTCGGTGTGCAACTCTACCAAAACCTCCAGTCGAGCATTCCAGGTGATGCCATGCTAATGAGCTTTTCTGCCTTCACTGGTGTTCCTTTGTATTAAATAGAAATTAGCAAATTCTGACGTTCTTACCTGAATCCTGTTACAGTTACCATTTTGAAGCCTGGTAAAATTCTGTAACCCTTCCAGAACTGGAATATAAAGCAAGATAACTGTCATGTACCAGTGTGTATTGAGAGGTATGTGAAAAGAGTTGAAACAGAGTGAACAATGAATATTCTTTTTTATTCTGGGAAAAAAATCCACCTGTATATTTTATTAGCACTGGCATTAACAGATCTTTGAAGAAGTAATTCCTAGCTATAGGGTTTAGTCTCCATTCCCTGAAAAGCAAATGCTAGATTAAATGGCACAGTTCTTTGTGCATTACAGTACATATTACGCAAGGAAATGTCCGAGAAAGAAAATGGTGAGGCAGTGGGAAGATGTGGAGAAGCATCAAATCCCAATAAAGCACAGAAAGAAGGAAGATTGTATAAAAACATGTGAGATGAGGCTGAGGTTCAATGAGGCCTTCCAAGGAATCCCTGTTTCTGCCATTTTGGTTTTTTTAGTCAATGACAAGGAGCACATTTGAGGCAGCATCTAGGGACCCTAGCTCCGTCGTATTCCCTATAGTTGGAGATATAGAATTCTCATGGCCACCACAATATGTGCTTGCCATCAGATGTGCATCAGCATTACTTGAGCCAGTGTGGATTTTAATGGTGCTCTTATCCCACATTGATCCTTTAAACAACAACCTGATGATTCTGTTTAATACAAGTTATATTTATAGGGGGAGGAGGGACCATAATGTGTCAAATAGAATGCCAGGTACCTAGGTGGGTGGGACCCAATGTAATCCTCTTCCCTTAAAATATGTAACCTAGTGTGTGGTGTGTATGAGGAGGGTGCTTGTGCTGGGCGTAGCTATCCCTGCTGATATGCCAATTGTAGACACAACAAATTTCTGAACCAGCACTTCTTCATGACACCTAGGGGAAGTGGTAATATTTGTAGGCCCACTGGGATAAGTAGGAGGCTTTTCTGGGCCTGAGTCAGTGCCCAGTGTCTGGCATACAATTTACACTCATGGGATACTCTTTGCTTTCCCATATGCAAACATAAACATGTCACATAAGTGTCTATCAACCTACAGTACACAGTGGGTTAAACCTTCTATGCTCAAAAATATGAGTGTTTTTATTTATGTGGTATGCAAAAACGTATAGAAAAAAAAACTGGTTTTCTAGATTTATGTGCCTCAGTAGAGACTTCAGTGAATGAAGCCAGCTGACTTGTCCAAACCAATCTACCCAAGAAAGTTCTATCCGTAATTCAAGTTGCTTTCACACTCTCCCCAGAACACTGATTCCAACACAGAAGGGTATGAATCAGTTTGAAATCCACATTCATAAATTGCAAGCAAGCAAAGCACACACTCCATGGTGTATGAAATGAACTCAGATTAACCCTAAGAGGGTCTTGGGACCAAAACTTACAGCTGTTTCCAAGTCAGTCTTGTAGGATCGGTAGAGGGCAGAGGACGTGTTCCTGAGATCTTCTTGAAAGGCCACATTTAGCCTAACTGACATTCTCAGGATAACATCTGCTGAAAATGACAGGATCATATTGAAAACCTCATGTTACTGTTTGTGCACACAAAGAACAGAGAAAACGCTTGCTTCAGCAGGTGTTAAACTGCTACTCAACACTTAACGAGCAGTTACTTACCTCCCTGGAACTGGCAAAAAGGTCCATTTGGAGGCAGTTCTTTGAGGCAACTGCAGTGGTGTCCTGGGGCAGAACCGCTGTGTTTTTGGCAGGTGAGATGATGGAGGCACCTTTCCTGTGGCCACACATATCCTTTCTCACAGGAGCACCAAACTTCATTTCCAGCAGGTCTGCAGACTATCATCAAGCAGAAAGTGATGGAAGCAAATGGGCAAGCATCTCTTTGTGATACATCCTACCTGAAGTCCATTTTGCTTTTCTGCAAATGTCAGTATTCATGTGTGCATATATGAAGCACCCCACTACTGTAGGAATCACTGCTGGGATTTCAGTTAAGTCACCTTTTAGGTGAGGACGCCTGACAGTACGTGGTTGAACAACGTCTATGACGAATCATCCAGTTACTCTGCTCCCACATTCCTAGACACAGAATACGTATAGCTAGCAGCAAAGTGGCTCCTGACCATGCTATTTTCTGGATTCCAGTACACTTTGGTATTTCTCTTATGCTATATTGGGGTTGGTACTTTTATGCTGTATTTGGAGTTGGTACCTCTAATGCTGTATTGGGGTTGGTCTTAGGTGACAAATAGAATGTGGCAGAAATGACAGCACAGTATTTCTGGGGACTAATAATGCAATACACTGTAGCTTTCCTCAGGTGTTCCTGTCTCTCTCTTTTCACTTGACTCACTTTTGGAAGGCTGGCTGCCACAGCATGAGGATGATCAGAAAAAGCCCACATGGCAAGGAACTGAGGTCTGCAGCCAACAGCTAGTGAGGAGCTGAGACCTGCCAGCAACCACAGGAAAGAGCTCAGAAGACCATTTTCTAGCCTGATTGAACCTTTGACCATGTGACAAACAAAGTGAGAGGATGTACCTTTAACATTTCAAGTCAAATGTGGACAGCCTGTGTGCTCTGAAAACTAAGTGCTCTGAATCAGTTTCTACAATCGGACCCAATCACATCCTTGAGAACTGTTTTTCCTGTAAGTGGGTGTCTCAGAAGGTGCGTTTGCAATGGAAAGTTACCAAACAGTTGTTTCTGAGATTGAAGGGACAATTAAGTCCCAGTGATTCCTGAGACACAAAAGCAGACCCATGTTCCCACTGTAGGCTGGAGGAAGCACCATTAGGGACAGAAGTCTGTGCTGCCAGGCAGGGTGGTGAGGACCAGCAGGGTCATTTTGAGGATTGCTAACAGAAACTCCATTGTCAAACTCTGTCTTCTCATCTGAACTTCCACTGCTAAAGCAGTTTTTTTTTTCTTCGTTGCAAGGGATAATTAAGGAGACTAGTTGAAGAATGCTTGCATCCCATAGAAAATAAAAGCATGTCTTAGAAGGATGGGGGGGAGAAACTATGATTTGGAGATCACCTACTATATTCCAGATGTTATTCAGTGCTATACATGCAGTGTCTGGCTTTAAAATCTTGTTTTAGAATTATTACTAAAAATATGTTTCTTGAAAAAATTATAAGGTAAGCTATTGGACGAGTTGTGTGAGAATGAGAAGAGGGAGAAGGTGCTAATTTGGGTCCTCAGGCTTAGCAACATTGTACATCCCGCCTTCATTTCATATTCACTCCATCCATCCTCTCCTGCGGGTCAACACTCCCCACTTTTTCTTGTTTGTCCTGAGTTACATAAGAGTTAGAGCTAATCTGTGATGCTTAAGCATCCATTTTGTCCAACCTTTTTCACAGTTCATATCAGAAATATTCATGCTCAGTCATGTCAGTGATGAGTTTTCTGGACGAATCAAACTGATCATGTTTCAGGAGATCCTTGTTCACCCTTGTCTCTAAAAAGACTCACCTACTGTAGCCCCTTGGTGTGTTCTCTAGTAGCACAATTAAATCCAGGAATTTCTGTGAACTTGAGAGTACTTTTAAAAATGTTGTTCAGGAATAAAATGAAATGTAAGTTCATTCTGGGGCAAAATAAAGTGCATTGCAATACAAATTTTTTTGTAATCTGCATTTTTCCATGGATATTTTGAATACTGTTTTTATACCTATATTGAATAAATATAATAAATTCACAACTCAATCTCCAGCATTCATAATCAAAATCTGTTCAAGGAAAACAAATAAGTTAACATTTCATTTTTATTGACCTGGTTTATTTACCAGATTCTCTTTCTAGCAACACACAGACATAAAAGGCTTCCCTTAAAAACTGAGAAACAAAATAAAATTGATCAACCATCTTTCGATCAATCCATTTTCTCTATAATCAGGGGAACTGATTTCAGAGGCAGAGGGTGTGTGCTAAGTGCGACATTGAGGGATGTTTACTCCACATGTTCCAAAGTATCCCATTTTTGTGAGATGCTCTGTGGAGAAAGAGCTATGCAAGCAAAATCATTTGGTAAACAAAGTCTTAGCTCAAACCTATAGTAAGACTCATAGTGAACATTGATATCTAATTGGAAAACCACCAAAGAAAATTGTTAGTTATAGAATTTGATGGAAAATGGAATGAGGTTCAAGTAGCATATAGTCAGAATCAAAAATTGAAATGTGTAGATTAATATCGGGATAGACTAATATTTGATCCTTCAAAAACAATTTCAAATACAAAGATATATTTGTTAGTCCATTTAAAAATAACAAAATCTAAATCTATTAGTGTTGTTCAATTTACAGAACAGCAACATTTTGCAAAAAGCAGTCTTACTTCACAGCTTCCATGGCAGTCTCAAGTGATAACTCAATGAAATATACTGATACTAGCATGACCTAGAAGAGACAGTAACCAGAAAGCCTGGTCAGTGGCCCAAGAGCTTCTGCTTAATGCCTCTTAGCAACATAGGCACGTGTCTACTCATTACTTTCTGACCTATCATGCCAAAAAGAGAGGAGCTTGTTTCTTTTTGAAAATTTGGACCAGTTTTTTATATACCTATTATCCAGGGAAAGAAAATATAGTGGATTGTCTTGAAGACATGAACAACATGTGTTGCAACCATTTTATGAAAACCATTATATAAACTATCAAGAAATCCCTTACTCATCATTTAAAAGAGGAAATCCATCCAGGAAGGCTTTGAAGTCACAAAACTGCACAACAGACCTGTTAGATCATTTCACCTGCCCTCTAGGTATAAAATACTCCAACCCTAAGCAGTTTAGCTTTCCTCCTGGTGTACCCAGTCATCCATGACAAAGCAATATGTCACTCACCTGTTGTCACCTCCATGCTTAAAATGTCAGCAGCTGGGACACTGCTGTTCCCTGGGATTGGAAAGCTGAGGCTGTTCAGGTAGGTTTTGATAGGCTCCAAGAAGGATGCATTTTCCAAACTGATCTCAATATCCACCGTGTACTCTTCGGCTGTAGGACTGCTAGTGGCAACTGAATGAAAGTACAAGATGGTAAGAACTTAACCACAGCAGATGGAGAAGGATTCATGGCGATTTCATAAACAAAACATATAGGTGGATGTTGAGCTTATCTGTCCTTAAGAATTTCTAATGAAAACTTTCATTTAAGGCAAAAAAGAAAATTAGTGTATTCACCACCAACTTTTGTCCCCCACCATAAAGAACAAGGAAAGCTATGTAGAAAATGGACAATAATGAGCAAATATGAAAGCAGGAAGAACTAGCAGACTTCAGTAACCATTCAGACACACAGTGTCCTGACACACAGAATGAGCATTTCCTGCATGTTTTAGTTCACTTACACAAATTCTTTTTAGAATACTTATTTGTTTGTTTGTTTGTTCATTTATTTATTTATTTAAATGGAAGAATTACAATGAACACAGAGACAGGAAGAGAGAGAGAGACAGGCATGAAGAAAGAGGGAGATCTTCCATTTACTGGTTCACATCCTAATTGCCTTCCATAGCCAGGACTGGGCCAGCCAAAACCAAAACTCCAGGACTCTTCTGCATCTCCAGCTGTAGGTGCTTGGGACTCAAGCACTTGAATCATCATCTGTATCCCAGGGTGTGCATTAGTAGGAAATTGGAGGGAGAACCAGGACTTGATCTCAAGTATTCCAATATTGGATGCAAGCTTCCAAGGAGTACCTTAACCACTACATAAAATAAATGCCTCCCCACAGACTTCAATATTTAGGCATCAAAATAAGCTTATACTTTAGTTTCAATTGCCTTGCATTTCTTCAAGAAACACACACACACACACACACACACACACACACACACACACGTCTTTGTTCCTTCACAGTTTAATATCTCATGGTTTCTCATATTACATCATGTCTAGACCAATAGTTGTAAGCACCCCAAGGGCAGGAACTGCTTCCTTCCTTTCTCAAGACTTACTCATAAAGCACTGAGAACATCACATAAAGAATACGTGTCCAGTCAACTTATTACAAAGTTGGTGACTGTGTCAAGTTGCAAATTTCCTTCTTGCACTGAGAGAATCTTTGAGCCAGTGTTAGCCAGAGTATATACCCGGAATGGAAGTTGTAGTCTAAGTTAATAGTTAAGGAAGAATCTTTAAATAATTAGAAATTTTATACAGACACATTGAGAATATCATATTTTATTAATTAAATGAGGGAAATATCTGTGGACACTTGTAAAACTACTTTTCTAAAATTTCTGTCAAATGTGGAAGTCTGATGTGTATATTTTACTGTAAATTTTAAGTTATATGTTTGTTTTCTAAAAGGGCAAATAATTTTCTCCTAAAATTGCAAGATTTGTTGTTGAAATTCTGAGGGTTGTTGACAAGAACCATTAAAACATATGAAATTTCTTAAGGAATCTCCAGTTGTTAAATGTTTCTTGAAGAAAATGGTGATATTTGTCCATTTGGAGTTAGAAACCATGCTTATCTTATTGGGTCATTTTTAGCTGTCAACTTTGCTGAGCGAATTCTTTCATTTTGGAATCATTCAACTTGGTGGTAATAACTCAAACTCAAAATCTTGAGCATATTTTCCTAAAATTAAGACTGGTATAGGTATATTTCTTCTTTATAAGGAGATTTCACAGGGAAATGGAAGTGAATTCTTTGATCCGATGTGTGGGGCTAGCACTGTGCTGCAGAGGCTTGAGATGCATCATCTGTAATGTAGCCATCCCTTACTGGAATACCTGTTCAAGTTTAGGCTGCTACACGCCAAATCCTGCCCCTTCTGATGCATCTGGGAGGCAGCAGCAAAAGGTGACCCAATATTTGGTCCCCAAATATTTGGGACCTAGATGGAGTTTCTGGCTCATGGCTCCAATCCAGCCCAGCCCTGACTATAAAACTCATTAGGAAATGAACCAGGAGACAGAAGATGTCTCTCCTTCCTTCTCTGTTGCTCTGCCTTTCAAACAAAATTTATCCCTATAAAACAAACACACACACACAAGCTCATAGCAGATTATTTAAAAAATAAATAAATAAAACTTGGTGTTGCCCACTTCCCTGTAGCCCTTGAACCATTTTACCCCGGTTGACTAGGTAAAGATTGTCAAAATATAATAACAACAATTTAAAAAAAAATTGATGCACAATTTCAGCCTATCATGGTTCTACAACACTACTTCAATTTTCCTATATTCTTTTTGGTTGTCACATGGGTTTTGTGATGAAAACAAACTTCCTAGAAGAACTGCTCATTTCAGTTCTTAAAATTCTAACTCTGCACACATTTTGTTTTTGTCCCCAGGAACACTCGCAAGGAGAATGGCTGCACAGTATTTGTGAGCTCTGTCTTACAGCACATTCTCTTTCCCTGAAAAAGTAGTGTTGCAGTGTTTATTTCCTCCAGAGCATTCACCGGCCCTGGGATCCTTTTGGCTGAGGCCAGTCTGCTCTCCTCCCAGGAATGTAAACAGGATTTCCTGGACAGTGGCTGGTTTTGAGATGGGTGGGGTTGGTAACAACCTCTTATTTCATCATTTGTTTGGTTGCCTCCCAAGCTCTGATCCCAGACTGATATCTGTGCCTGTCTGAGTGGGGGAGCCTCGTTGGCCTGAAGCCCCTCTCCATGTGTTCTTTGCAGCTGTAAACGTACAGCAAGCCAATGCCTAGAAAGCACATGGTGATTTCATGGATGTCGTCATTTCCCATTGAAACCATGGCAGTTACTCTACCCTGATTTACTTGGAGCTGAGCCCTAAACACAAAGTACTGGCTCCTGTGGCTTTAACAAGTTTGTCTGTGGGATTCATGCAAATGTTAACTTAAGCTCTGGCCTCCAATGACTTATTTTTCTCTTTATCATCTATGTTGTTCAGCAATGTCTAAAGGATTCAGAGAAACCCTCAGTCAGAACATCATTTCCCCAAGAAGCTGCTAAGGATGGGGAAGCTACGATATAGAAGGAAATGTATTCCCTTTGAGAACAGCCAGCTCCTAAAAGAAGAGTCAAAAACCCCATTGTCGTCTAGTCATTTGTGGTTTTACCCTTGAAAATTATCTCTCCAGTGATCCCCAAACTTAACTGATGATCAGGAACATAAGGAAATTCTATACACATTTGTGCATAAATCTGAGTAGAATCTCAGTGTGTTAGCTCCAGAAATATGTATTCTCTCTTCTTTCCATTTCCTATTGAGCATTTAATGAGCATCCAGGTTTGGGATCTAACATTCTTTAAGGGATTTTTTTTTTTTTAGCCTGAAAGGCAGATTTACAGAGAGAAGGAGAATCAGAGATATCTTCCATGTGCTGTTTCATTCTCTAAGTGGCCTCAACAGCTGAAATTGAGCTAGTCTAAAGCCAGGAGCCCAGACTTTTATTCAAGTCTCTCACAGGGATGCAGAAGCCCAAGGCTTTGGACCATTCCCCACTGCTTTCCCAGGCCATAAGCAGGGAGCCTGTTGGGAAGTGCAGTAGTTGGGAAATGCAATGGTGCTCATATGGAGTGATGGTGCTTTCAGATGGAGGACTAGCCAATTGAGACATCATGTCGACCCAGGGTCTAATAGTCTAAATCAAATGAAGAAATGAAGAAACAATCTTGGACGGCTGCCATTAGCCTCATTTTTATTGTTGCTTTTGCTTTGCTTTCTGTTTCAGACACTGCCTACCCAAACGACTGGGGCAATCTTGTAGTTCTCAGATATATGCAGGGGCCCCCATTTCCCTCTTTCAACTTTAGGGGAACTGAATTTTGCTTAAATTGAATGAATTGGTCTTGCTTACTTCATTCAATAAAGAATGGATGAATGGAAGATGAATATAATATTAGTTACAATTTATTCATCACACAACAATTTCTAGGGCTATGAGAACAGTGTGAACACTTAGCTTTTGCAGACAGAAAAACTGATATCCCAGGAGTTAAAGCCACATTAAAAGCAAGTGCTGACTCCAAAGCTCACTTGTTATTAATAATTCCAAGCCATAATTCAAATGGAAAATGATAACAAAAATGGTCATTTTATAAATTATAAAACATATAAAGCATGATTGTCAAATGTCTTTAGAATTTGATGCATAATTACTAAAATAAAATTGGAAATCAAGCTCAAGGACAAATTCACTGATTTATTATTAATAAATGAAAAATTGTGTAAAGCTTCTATTCAGCATAACAGATTCTTTAGAGATGCACATTCAGGAAAAATGCTTTGCGACTCTGTTGTATACAAACGATTTTGACAAGAAGTCTTGCTAGCATCATTACTCTGTTCTTTTCTGGTAACTTGTAATTTACCTACTTACTGTTTATTTCCTGAAACCGTGCTGGATGTCAACCAAAGAAGCCAAGACAAGTCTTTTGGTCTCTTCCATCCTTATGCTGGAGGTAAATGATAAGCTTATACTTTATATCAGGTGGTTTCTTAGGGCACGAAGGACTATGAGAGGGCCAAGAAGTCTGTGTTACAGGCACACAGACAAGATGGCTAGGGCATTGCTTTCTATGGAAGGGTCAGAGAAGACTTTTCTAGAAGGTAAACCTTGAACAGAGTCTGGAGTGAAGTGAAGGGTGAACCAAGAGGAGCTCTGAATTATAACTCAAAAAGAGTTAACAAGCACAAAAATTCTGGGACGGCAGCCATCCTAGCTTGTTTTGGGAACATCAAACAGACACCCTCCAGAGGGTCTTTCCTTCTCCTCCAGATTCTAGAATGGTGTCATAGAAACAGTGTGATTCCCTGGCTTGAAGGGAAAGACTGTTGAATGTAAGTGCCATAAGATCCATTTGGGTAGAGTCAGAAGCTCATGCTCATGGCTTAGAAATGCCATTCCTCACCTTCCTCTCCCATTTAAACCTTCAGAGCCTGGGAAAGCAATGCTGTTCACCCTGCTCCAAGCTACAAGGCGCGCGCGCGCGCACACACACACACACACACACACACACACACAAGAATGACTCCTCCACTTGTCTGAGTGTATTTTAGATGCCCTTCTACCCTTCTTGGCTGCCCTGTA